CTGGCAGACGCTGAACTCCAACCTTCGAGTGTGCGAGGTGGGGAAGACTTCACTGCCGCGCTTAATTAAAAGCATGACATTTGTAGATCAAAATTGAATCCCAGCCGCAGCGCTCGGCCCAGAGTGTCATAACTTAACCTAACCCGTGGCCTCAGCGCTCGGCCCCTTAGCCGCAGCGCTTGGCCCAGAAAGTGTCTTAACCTAACCTAACCCTAAATTAATACTAATTTAATTGAAAATTGTTGAAAAAGTGGTCATGTTCAAAAGTAAAATCTGAAGTGAAGTCTTCCCCACCTTGCACACTCGAAGGTTGGAATTCAGCGTCTGCCCATTAAACATGGTTGTTGAACATAAACCCGTATCTTACTGTACTCAAGCATAATTTTGTCTTCCAATCATTCTTCTTTGTATCAGGTCAGGTATAAAGCAGAGAGTGTAATACTCTGGCAGCTCTGATACAGCAAATGTTTTAATTTGTGAAATACTTAAAATATACAATCCATGAATAATTCTGCAATCCGTTGTAAATTTCCACTTAAACAACCAGGGTTTTATTTCAGAAGTAACAAATCAATTTTAGTAAGTTACTTGTTACTATTAATAACACAAGACAATGCTTAATTATTATTATCATTTCTAAAACTGTATTTTGTAAGTTTGAAATATATTCATATTTGCAACTACATATGGTATCTGGTATATAGGAGTTCATCTAACAAGCGATCCTCCATGATTATTCTCGATCAATTGTAATTTAGATACAACATTGAGATCAGAGCTCTTGGGAAATGATAATAAATGTCAATGTGTGTATTTTAATGTGGTTGTACGTCTTGTTTTTCAAAACGAGGGCTTGTGTCTTCAAGATTTAAAGACAAGCAAATGAAAAACTGTACGTTTAAGACTCCCAAGTCTAAAAGAGTCGGTCGGTAACAGTAACAGATTAATTTTTGTTAAAAAGTGTAAAAGTTGACGAATGAATGCCGCAATTATTTCAAAGATCAATGACACAGAAGTAAAGAATGGGACCCGTAGGTTAAAAAGATAAACACAATTGTCTAATAGCTGAATAATTTATTCTAAACATTTAGTTGATTATTATCACATAGACAATTTACACCAGAATAATAGTCTTTAACATACAAAATTTTATATTAAGTATTTAGATTATGATTTTACACATTTGATTATCATTAATGATTGACAATCCCAAATTACAATCATGGCAAAACTGAGTTTAAAAAAAACATTCAACAAGCATAAAAAATTAGCAATCTTAAAGAGACTGTAAGCGTAATTTCAAGTGAACCTTCATGCAAATATGGCACTGCCCGCCTAACAACGGTATCCTTAAAAACTTATCTGATTTGAAATATCAATGTCTTTAATTTTGAAAACTGATTATTGTCAACTGTGGTCACTTTACAAAAGAGACTTGCGCATATCTACCGCAGGAAATCATGTTTGCATTATCAGAATTAAACGCTTTTATCACAGAAAACTACCATATCTACTCTAATTTGATCAGATAAAGGTTTCAAGGGTGCCGTTGTGATTTAAGCATGGTTTTCTTGGCATGGAGGGTCACTTGTAATCACGCTTACAGTCCTTTAATATAAACACAACAAATATTAATTAAGGGAAATAATTAGACTCTTAAATAAATGAAATTCGAGGTTTTACAATAGTAACACTTATTCAAGAATATGAGAAAGCAAGAGGAATGCCAATCTTATTTAAATTAAAAAACTATTCTGAGCTGAAAACTTTAGAATGGTGGATATCGGGATTAATGCTTATTAGAGCAAGGCCTTGTTATAGGGTGTCGCAGTCCAATGGTTTTAAATTTATTCATTANCATGTATTCCATTTAAGTATAATTACATCGTATAGAAAAAATACTTTAAAATCTCACTTTTGCCCTTAAATAAAAAAGTTTCATTAAAAAAAGCTTTAATCACTACTGCCTTCAGTGTAAATATATGTTTGATGTCATAATTTAATATACATATGTATCAATCCTATGAAAATATCGATATTTTTTAGAAACGTTTCCATCTATATTTTTCATCCCTTGAAGCTTTCACCACAGTATTGCCTTATTTTGTGGCCCCCCGGGCCTTGGCAACATAGTGCCCCCCCCCCATTAAAAAAATTACATAAATTTAAGTTTACATAGTTAAAAAAGGTATCAATATTTTTTTCAAAAAAGGGGTTTTTAAGGGGGGGGGGCAAAAAATAAATTTGCGTCAGTGCGCAAAATGTGCCCCCCCTACACAAATGCTCTTGTACAGCCCTGACTATAGTAATATAGATTTTTTATGGTTTAAGTCAAAAATAATTCTGCTGAATTAAAGAATACAGGACAGCTCTAGTTCCGTTGAAGGATAGGACATGTCTCTAGTTCCGTTGAAGGATAGGACATGTCTCTAGTTCTGTTTAAGGATAGGACATGTCCTATAGTTTTGTTAAAGGATAGGACATGTCTCTAGTTCCGTTGAAGGATAGGACATGTCTCTAGTTTCTGTTTAATGATAGAATATGTCTCTAGTTCTGTTTAAGATAAGGACATGTTTCTAGTTCTGTTTAAGATTAGGACATGTTTCTAGTTCTGTTTAAGTTCATGTCTCTAATCTTGTTAAAGGATAGAATATGTCTCTAGTTCTTTTTAAGAATAGGACATGTCTTTTAGTTTTGTTTAAGGATAAGACATGTCTCGTGTTCTGTTTAAGAATAGAACATGTCTCTAGTTCTGTTTAAGATTAGGACATGTTTCTAGTTCTGTTTAAGATAAGGACATGTCTCTAGTTCTGTTTAAGATAAGGACATGTTTCTAGTTCTGTTTAAGGGCATATCTCTAATCCTGTTAAAGGATAGAATATGTCTCTAGTTCTTTTTAAGGATAGGACATGTCTTTTAGTTTTGTTTTAGGATAAGACATGTCTTGTGTTCTGTTTAAGGTTAGGACATGTCTCTAGTTTTCTTTAAGGATAGGTTATGTCTCTAGTTCTGTTTAAGGATAGGACATGTCTTGTAGTTTTGTTAAAGGATAGGACATGTCTCTAGTTTCTGTTTAATGATAGAACATTTCTCTAACTCTGTTTAATGAAAGGACATGTCTCTATTTCTGTTTAAGGATAGGACATGTCTCTAGTTCTGTTTAAGGATAGGATATGTCTCCAGTTCTGTTTAAGTAACATGTCTCTAGTTCTGTTTAAGGAAAGGACATCTCTCTAGTTCTTTTTAAGGATAGGACATGTCTCTAGTTCTGTTTAATGATAATACATGTCTCTGGTTCTGTTAAAGGACAGGAAACTCTCTAAAACTATTTTAATATAAAAACTTCTCTTGCTGTGTTAAAGGATTAGACATGTCTCTAATTATGTTTAAGAATAGAATAGAACATGTCTCTAGTTCTGTTCATTGATAGGATATGTCTTGTATAATGNTCTAGTTATGTTTAAGGATCGGACATGTCTCTAGTTATGTTTAAGGATAGGACATGTCTCTAGTTCTGTTTAGGGATAGGACATGTCTCTAGTTCTGTTTAAAGATAGGACATGTCTCTAGTTCTGTTTAAGGATAGGACATGGCTCTAGTTCTGTTTAAGGATAGGAAACTCTCTAGATCTATTTTAGGATAAGAAACTTTTCTTGTTCTGTTTAATAATAGAACTGTTAAATCAAAAAATTAAAAAATAAGATTTAAATATACTATCTTTATAAAAAATGGTTTCGTTTACACGACTCTGTCAACTCCATCCCTTCATAATCAATCCACCATTATATTTTTTTATCCAAACCTATTCTAATATCTAATCTAATTCTGTTATCAATCCAATTCTGTTATCCAATCCAATCCTGGTCTGATATAATAAATCCAATTAATGCTGACAGATTGAGTTGAATTCTAACCATATTGAGAAAATTCTAACCAATTAAATCAAATTCTTATCAACTTGAGCTAAATTCTAACTCGATTAAAAAAATTCTAACCACTTGAATTCAAATGATACCCAGATTAAGGAAATATTATCAGATTAAATAAAAATTCTAACCAGATTGAGTTTAATTCTAATCAGATTTAAACACAATTTCGAACCAAAATGAGTTAAATTCTAACCAGATTGAGTTTAATTCTAATCAGATTTAAACACAATTTCGAACCAAAATGAGTTAAATTCTAACCAGATTGAGTTAAGTTTTAACTACATTGAGTCAAATTCTAGCCAATTTAAGTAAAACTCTAACCAGTTTGAGTCAAATTATAACCAGATTGATTAAAAAAATAACCAGATTGAGTTAAAATTTAACGGAAATGAGTCAGAATTTCGTTTTTGAATTAAAGCATATGTTAAAGAATATCGTTGGTCTAACTTGTTACATTAGTTTGTGAAGGTTTGATCTTTCTTGACTGAGGTAGGGATTATGATAGTGTCAGTATAGATTGTGCTGGGGGAGAAAAGGATTGTAACATAAAAAGGAACAGTAAGAAAGTGGTATGGAGGGTTCAGAGTGTGCCAAGATCAAAAGATCTTGAAGATCATTGATAAAGAGTTTTAAACAGTGTATAGTATATTTATATTATATTTATCTCGTTTAGAACTTGTAAAAAAATGAGTCTTTGCCAGAAAAAAAAATTATAATTCATATATCTCTGCAACCTGACGGTGTAAAAGTTAGATATGTGAAGCTTAAAACTCAATTTCTTTAATGGAAGTGGGGGGGGGGGGGAGTAAAAGCCAACAGAAGGTGAATTGAAACACGCATCGAGCATTTTAAAACCACTTATCAATTTTGGAACTCTCAATTTTGCAGATTTCTTATATAATGCATAAAATCACAGCCAAATGATTAAAGATATCAAAAGATCTTGGAGAATTCGAGTC